CATGTTAACCAGATGGAACTGACAATCTTAACTTTCATTCTTCATATACCCACCCCCAAAATTTGGAAATGTCACATCTGACTAACATTGACATCACACTCATAGAGCTGAACAGCTGAGACAATTGTTTCAGTTCTTGCAGGCACTGTTTTGATATGCTTTTTCTTTTGATTTGCATTTTTCTTTAAAAAAGCATACAAAAAACAAAAAAACCTTTAGATTTCCTTATGATTTTTTTAGGATACAAAGCATGTAAATAGTTGTGTTATATGAACTTGTGCATAAAAAATACAAAGTACACTGTGTTCTGTACATCTCCATTACATGACTACAAAGTCAAAGTTTGCACTCAGTTCTTGCAATGTAGTTCCTCAGCTTCAATAATAAGGGCAGAATGTGACTCACAGACTATGTTAAAGCAAAGAGAATGGAAAGTACAAGGTTTAGAACCTGAATGCAGCTACATACACAGGTTAATCAGGCAGACAAATTGATATCAAAAGGACTTACTGTGATGATTAGCCCTTTTTCCTGGAAATATTTGACCAATGGGACAGCGTTCTGTTTGAAATTCGTTAATCGCCTCTGGGTGGCTTTGAGGTTATCATCAGGTCTCCCCTGCTGTTCAGCACGTTTCAATAACCTTTCTTTCAGCCGCTGGTTGGAACAGGCCAAAAACACCACAAGATCTGGGGTGCAAATCTGTGGGTTATTCAAAAAGACTATGATTTAATTAACTGTCTAGCATAACCTTAAACAATAATACCCTTTTCACATTAGTCTCACATATATTTGCACTTGCAAATAACACTTCTCAGTTGATCCTAGAAGCTAATCTAGACATATATGACTAAAAGTTGGTAGTACGCTAAGTGAAATTTAGATCTTAAAAAGAACAGTGTGCATTAATGTCTCATATTTGGCAGGAAACACCTCATACAGTTTTAATATACTTAGTAATTTACATATTACAGTGACATTTAAATTCCCACCAGCCACCATGGAGTTCACCAAAGCCATGTCTAAATGATAAACCTGCCATGCCAGGAAGTGGCAGCCTCAAGCACTTTGTGATGCTTTGGGGAGGCTACCTCCTAAACCTTAAAGTAATGTAGCTACCTTTTTGTGTGACAGCCTAATTAACATTGTTAAGTGACATGGCCAATTTACCCACTCCCATCCTAATTATCACACCATGTCTTGTAGACACGCTTCCAGTCAGGGAGCAGTCTACCTAGATCAGTATAACATGCTTGAAGCCAGCAGTCAGAGGTACAATTACTGTGTAGACATGACCAATAGCACAGGACTAGGAGAAAGGATACTTAGTTTCTATTACCAGAGACAGTATAGATTTCCCCCTTTATTTCTATGTTTCAGGTTCCTTATCAGAAAATGATGATGATATAAGCCATCTGTTATTCCTGATGCAGAAATTTCTTTTCTGCCCATCCTTCTCTTGTCTGTACACATTTCCACCTCTACAGCATTGCCTACACATTTCCCAACCTTGACTTGACCACTTCAATAAGGCATTCCTTAAATCTCTGTGCACTAAAGTTCAAAGAATAGAGAACTGCATATCCAAAAAAATTCAGCAGCAGTTTCAAGGTGAGACCATGTTAAATACTTTTTCTCAAATTGTATCCATGTTTCACATCAAATAATTCTTATGGTTTTCAAAGCTCTTCATGGACTTTTGATTACTCCTGTTACTAATTATTTAGAGATTTTTTCCTCAATGCTAGGCATACATATTAAATTTACTGTACAGAGATGGCAACAAGTATTTCTGAAAATCTTATTAGATGTTCATGTTGAGTCACTACTCTGCAGTGCCCATTTTTCAGACCGCTTATCACTGTCTGGAATAGGAGTAACAAAGCCCATCATGCTACCCAAGCCTGCTAGCTAAGCTCTACTTTCTCATGTTTTATTGGAACCTGGCCTCAATTCAAGCCTTTCTCAATCATTCTGTTCTGCCTGTCCTGAATTTTCCCATATTTACAGTAAATTAAGCAAGTTACTTCTCTTTCAATCTTGCCTAAAATATTTTTTCTCTTTAGCTTATCATTGCTTTCCCAGGTGTGTTGAGTCTCATCTTAAATGTTTGTAGATAAATCAAATGTTGTACAGCGCATATTTACCTAACTACAGATCAAAAGGTGGTGTTTCCATTCTACACATATCTAGATTTATTTCTGATGTCCCTCTACAATATCAAAAAGTCCCTAATAATTTTTCCCTACATTATGCATGTAAAAATATTATAGCATAATGGTTAATGTAAAAACCATCAAGATACCTGCAAGGTAAATTACTTATGTATACATTGGCTTTGTAAGGTAAGAATAATTTGCAGACTGGAAGTAATAAGTTTATTAGTGACAGTCTTAAGCAACCAACTGTAATATTAATAGACTATATATGATAGCACCTTCTGCCACCAGATTTCACACTGCTTTAAAACAACATTGAATTACACTGACAAACACCCCCACATAAGCTTTAAGTAGGGAAATCTTGTTACTGTTTTATAGGTGTATGAAGCAGAGAGGTCAAGAATCACATTTTGAAACATGTCCAATATCAATTACCTCTGGTCAGTTTTTTCAGTTGGGTGAAAGAGAATTCAAAAAAATCTATACGCCCAGCACCGAAAAAAATCAAAATAGAGGCATCATTTTAAAATGTAGTCTTTAGTCATCATCAGACCTTTGGTCATTAAGTCATAAGTCAATGTCAAAGCTGAAATGACGTATAATGGAAAATTTAGGCAAAATAGGAACATTTTAGTAATATAAAAGACCTTTAGATTGTGGAAAAAACTGGCAAGGGAGATTGAGGCATTGTTATTGGTAGAAAGGATCAGAGTTCAGTTAAAATTATTCTTTGATACAAAGTTCTCTCTTGTGCATTGATAGCTATTAGCAATATTAATTTTTGTAATTTTGAACAGGGAATTTTTTGGTCTATAGATCAGTTTCTGTTATAACGTGAAACTTTTTTACATGGATGTCACAGAGAGGAAACTGCATATTCTCTTCCTCCTGCCCAAAGACTGGTACTTTAACCCCAACAACATATAATAAAATATCATCTTTCTCCAGACTTTTAAAAATTGTATAGTTAACCACGTTATTGTGTCCTTTTCACTTGCCCTGTAATCATGAGGCAAATTAACAGGGACAGCTGTATTCAGCTGCCACACACGGTCTGAAAGAATATAATTACTCCTGTTATAGAAAAGAAAAGTCACTTTTTATGTTAGACTTCCATGCCACAAACACGAGTGAAAGTAGGTCAGGTAATTTAAGATTATTATTTAGTAAGCATATAATGAAGAACCTTCACATTGTGGAGTTTTAATGCACACAGGGGCTAAGTTCAGACATATGGGGGCATGGGAGAGGCTAAACTGAGTCAAGATGACTTCCCGATATCAGGTAAGTCAGGGTGGGAGATGGGCAAGCTGGGGGGTTGGGGGAACGCAACCCATGGGTGGGGTAGGGAGGCAGGCACAACTCACAGGCCAGGTGGGGGGGGCAGGTGTGACCCATGGGTGGGGTAGAGAAGGCAGGTGAAACCTGCAGGTGTCATGGGTGGGGCAAGAACAACCTGTGGGTTGGGGAGTCAGGTGTGACTCATGAGGCATAGGGGGGACAGGTGTGACCCATGGATGGGGTGGTGGGTCAGGTGCAACCCTTGGGGGAGGGGGCAGGTGCGACCCATGAGGGGTGGGGGAGCAGGCATGACCCAGAGGTGGGGTGGGAAGGTGTGACCCATGGGTGGGGTGGGGTGAGGTCCCCCCAGCGATCTTACACTCTCATCTCTCCTACCCCTCCCCACACTGGGACTTACTTGCTTGGCTACGGCAGTGGTGAATGCTGATAAAAGCAGCTGTAGCTGGAGCGGCTTGTGGGGTGGGGGGTTAGAGTACCAGCTGGGGGGAAGCAAGGGGTTGGGGGTGGCAAAAAATAGACCAGTTAAGGGAAAGGAGGGAGTGATAAGAGCAGACCCGGGGCTGGGGCCACTGGCTGGGTTTTCCCAGCCCCAGGGCTGTGCAGGGGAAGTGGACAGAAGTTCTATGCAGTGGTTTGACCTAAATCGAATGAGTCTGATAGTGCACAGATCTAGGTTGATCTTAAACTGAGTTCTGCAATTTTTAGACCAGTTTGTGTGCATGGAACTTCTGTTCAGTTACAGTTTAGACTGATTTCCTATCACTGAGACCAGGCCTGTAAGTGTAAGGTTGGCACCAGGACAAGATAGGCTTAAATTGGCTGGCTATTTTGAACCCAATTTAACCTCCTGAATGGCTGTACTTAGCCATAGCAGTTAACAAACCCAGTTTTAAATTTGGGCCTCTCTCATCACTACAGGAAAAATACAATATATTTCAAATCACAGAACACTATGTCAAGATAATGCATGGTGCAGTGCCGTCAAGAGGGTGAACATATGACAGGTAGCCAAAACCCTCAGCATGCTAAGATTGGCTCTGCTACCAACTTGAACTTCTGTGCAGCCTTGCACAAATCACTTAAGGCCTGATTTAAATCCCATTACAAATATCTGGGACCATAAAGGACAGGGACAAGAATGATCTGACATAGGTGCCTACAATTTTATTAAACCTATGCAGCATGTTTCCTATCTGATGTAGCAGCAGTGAAGAGGAACAATAAAGATGCCTCAGAGCTGTCATTCCCCTCTTCTCTCCGTGCTCGCTCATAAGTATCCTAACATATTTTGGGGCTGCCAAGGCCTGCATTTGTTCTAAGACCTGCCCCATGGCTGTGGCCTCTGCATTCCATTGCACGAGTCCAACATCAGCCCTTCGCAAGTGCAAAGACTGGAGTATCCGGCCTTTCTAACACCTCAGGCAGTGTTAAAAAAGGTGTTCCATGAAACTAGTAGCCCCACAAGAAGAAAAGGAGGGAGGATAACATTACATAAAGACAAGGTCTTTGCCTGGGACTATCTTCTGTAAGCAGCCTCCTACAGTTTTATAAGAAACGCTAACTGACCAATGGTAGGAGCCCTTCAGATGGGAGGACTGCCATTGGCTAGAAGCTCAGTCCAGATATATAGTCTTGTCTTCAGTCCTCATCATATAAAATGGTTGTAAGGGGGAAAGTCCCTTGTAGGGCACTGTCAAGTCTCTCGGAGGTTTGTTTTTGCTTAAAATTACAATATGGATCATTAGAATGCATCACAATGGGTGTTGTAAGGATTGATTAAGTTTATTAATATTTGTACAATGCTTTTAGAACTGTAAAGTGCTCTTAAAGTGGTATTTTTATTGTTAATCATTTTTTGACTAATGACAATAATAAAACAACGAGCTTTATGTAGCTTTTATACATCAAAAAACCCACATTTCATCCACCCAAAGAATGTACCAGTAAACCTGGTGGTTTATATTCCAAACACATGAAGCCTATTTTCAAATCAGCTATTGTCTGAAAGGATTTTTTAAAGGGAAAAGTGATTCAAGGGTATATTAAATGTTAACCTGTGCAGTAGGAATACAAAATAGCTTCTTATTTTTTGCGAGGGTTTCATTAAATCTGTCTTTTATCTGCTATGTATAAATCTTCATAGACAGAAGGCAGTTGAAAACATTGCTATATTATTCTGTTTATTAACATTTCTGTTTGGTGTTGGACATGTGAAAGGTGTTGGATACAACCAGATAA